CTTTCAAATGGTGCAGATGAGCGTCAGATAAAATTGTGTTTAGAAACCATTCCTTTTGAGAAAATGCTTACACTCCAGGGTACAGAGCCTCACACAGACCAGCAGATTTATGTCAGTCTGAGGCACTTGAGGGCTCTTGAGCCCTGCATCCTTTCTCTTTTGCTAGGCATTTAGTTGAATTCAGCCTATCTAAATGCATGTCAGGCACTGAACCACTTTGATTTTTCTTACTGTCTACTTAAAGATTAGGTGAGAGTAGCAGGATGGAAACTGTTTTGTAAATATTCAAATTGAAGCTGTAAAATTGAAACATGAAGCTCATTTGTGGTAGCCATTAATGGAGCACAAAACCCTCAAGCCAGCCTACAAAGTGTCAGCTTAATTAGGTCCATTCCTTAATACTGTAAAAGCTCACAAATGGGATATTCTGATGTGCTAAATCTTGTGGTTAATGAAATACTAATCTGAAAAGTTTGAAAATTTCAAACTGTTCAAGTAGTTTGAAATTTTTTCACAAAATATTTATTGAGCATATGTACCATGTGCCAGGCACTGTTGCAGGCACTTGTGATACTTCAGTGAGCACAGATCTTTGCCCTCACTGCATTCCAGCAAAGAGTACAATGATTAATTATATAGTATATTACAGAAAAAAACAAAACAACAAACAGCAAAAAGAAGCAGGATGTCATGCTGCAATTTTAAACAGTGGTCAGAACAGGCCTGAGATGACGTTTGAACAAAAAGATTTAGTCATGAAGTTTTATGGAAGAAGTGCATCGTACACAGCGAACAGCAAATAACAAAGGTCCTAAGGGCAGTACGCAAGCTGCACTGGAGGAACAGCAAAGGTGGCCAGTGTGGGACACGCAGTGAGCAAGAGGTAAACTCCAAACTGAGTGAGGCAGGGTGGAGGGCAGGTAAGTTATGGCCCTGCAGACCATTGTAAAGTCCTTACCGTCTATAGGTGGGAAGCCATCTAAGTAAGACTTAGACCTTTAAGGGATCACTGACTGCTATGAGAACAGACTGGAATAGGTTAGGAGACACAAATAAGGCAAAACAAAGACCAACTTGGAGGTCACTGAAATCATCCAAGCAAGACACAAATGTCTTCAACAAGAGTAATAGTAGAGATGGTGAGATTTTAGATGGATCCAAGATCGGATGAAGGATGTGAGGAATTCAGGGCTGTTTTTTGGCTGAGAAACTTCTGAATGCAGATGCCATTAGCTGAGAAGTTTAAGAGGCAAAAAAAGGAGTTTGGTTTTGGACAGGTCTTCAGACCTCTTATTAGATATCCAAGTGGAAAGGTCACTAGGGAGGCGAATGTAACCATCTTTAGGATTAGATGAGATTACCATGAGCAGAGGGGGCAAGGAGCCCAAGGTCAAACTCTGGTTATGTTTTAAAGTTCAGAGAAAGGAAGACTGGGCCAGCAGCCAGTAATGGGAGGAGAATCAGGCAGGTGTGGTTAGTACCTTGCAAGCCAACTGAACAAAGTGTTTTAAGGTCAAATGTCGATTAGATTTAGCAATGTGGAATATATTGGTGACTGAGTGGTTGAATAGTGAAGAGTAAGCCTGGTAGCCATCACCTAGCAGATGACCTAACAAGTGTCTAAACTTATCTCTAGTCCCTACTTATCACACAGAGCCATACTTTGTGTGATACACTGCAGAGATCATAGCATCATCTTATACAAAAGGTTTAACCTGAAACTAATAAATGCTTTAGACCTAACTTCCAGTTTACAGTAAGTGCAAAGGGATAGAAGAGTTTAAATTAATGACATTAATTAATTAATGACAAACATTCAACAAAACAGGCCTAGTTGTTCCATAAAGTCAGAATCTTGATTGAATCCTACATTAGCGAGAAAGCTGCGAAAGACATTTTGAGGACAAATGGGAAAATCTGATTATGGACTAGATGTTAAATTAGGGAAGCATTACTTTAAGTGGGATAATGTTATTGAAGTTATGTAGGAGAACCCCCTTGTTCTTAGATGCATCACGTATACGTTCTTTGAAGCAGTTAAAAATATACATATAGGGCTTCCCTGGTGGTGCAGTGGTTGAGAGTCCGCCTGCCGATGCAGGGGACAGGGGTTCGTGCCCCGGTCCGGGAAGATCCCACATGCCGCGGAGCGGCTGGGCCCGTGAGCCATGGCCGCTGAGCCTGCGCATCCGGAGCCTGTGCTCCACAACGGGAGAGGCCACAACAGTGAGAGGCCCGCGTACCG